TATATATATATATATATATATATAATTCTAGTCTCAGCAGCACACAGTGACTTAACATCTGTATGAAAACAGTATTGTCAGTTTCCAATCTGCTGTCTGTTTACCAAGTTGAAGGCCAGGCTGCGTGCACCAACTCCCAGGTTCAAAACATTGTTGTTTCTTAGCAGCGACTTGAAGATTTCTTTGAAAACATGAATACATAAGAATATAGATTAAGGTCTGCTCAGGGCGAGATGGAAAGTCTTATGACCTTCGAGACTGCCGACTCATTCTTATACAATAGACTTTTAAAGCAGCTTGTGAATGTATGTATCGACTTGTGCTGTGAAGCCCGTGTAGTCTGATTGGATTTGCGCCACGCCATCTGGGACCAGAACAAAAGATATTCCTCATAAGTGGTCGTGATTAATTCGGAGAAGGTCAGAGCAGACGTCCAGCAGTGCTTCAGCTCGGTGTTAGCGCTGTACACCTTTCCAAATCCTCACAGCCTCAGTCATGATATGTGTTCATGCGCTGCCGGCTTGAATCGCTTTGTCACGCTGCTGCAGAAATCTGCTATAGACATTCTCATTGTGTGAATCGGAAATTGCAATTCCCTGATGTTTGCTTTCCATGAGCATGGGGGGCTCTGGCAGGAAACCGTGGACACCTGAAGCTTTTGTGCATGTGCTCAATGCAGCAGATGGAGATGGTCACTTTGCATTTGCCATTTTTTATTCCAACACAAGCTCACTAGAAAATTATACCTTTACAGACCCCATTGTAACACAATATCAATGCACCACCAGTAAAACACCAACAGCTTTTAATCCTTTTCACAGAAACTGTGAATGCATTGACAGGGACAGAAATAAAAAAGGTGGAGAGATCTTCATTATTATTCATTCATTCATTTATTCATTCATTCATTCATTCATTCATTCATTCATTCATTCATTTTCTTTTTGGCTTAGTCCCTATATGAATCCGGGGTCGCCACAGCGGAATGAATCACCAACTTATCCAGCACATTTTTCAGTTCACCTGTAACACATGTCTTTGGACTGTGGGGGAAACCGGAGCACCCGGAGGAACATGCAAACTCCACACAGAAACGCCAACTGACCAAGCAGAGGCTCGAACCAGCGACCTTCTTGCTGTGAGGCGACAGCACTACCTACTATGCCACTGCTGCGCCCCCTCCATTATCATGGTTGGCAAAATGAAAAAAAAAAAATCTGTTAATGTTATTGAAGGGCTGCACGGTGGCGCAGTGGGTAGCACAATCTCCTCACAGCACGATGGTCGCTGGTTCAAGTCCCAGCAGGGTCAGCTGGCATTTCTGTGTGGAGTTTGCATGTTCTTCCCGTATTCGCATCCTCCGGGTGCTCTGGTTTCCCCCACAAGTCCAAAAACATGTGGTATTAGGTGAATTGGGTAAGCTAAATTGTCCGTAGTGTGTGTGTGTAAATGAGTGTGTAAAACATATGCTGGATAAGTTGGTGGTTCATTCTGCTGTGGCGACCCCAGATTAATAAAGGGACTAAGCCAAAAAAAAAATGATTGAATGTTATTGAACATAGTAGTACTATATATAGTAATATATCACTATATTAGATCCGTGCAGCTCATAAATCTGTGCCGTCAATGTGACACCTTAAGATAACAAGAAAATGACTAAATCTCTTTGGTGGCTGTAATAAGGATTTTTCTCTTTAGTGTATGCAAGTATAGTAGGTGTGTTCTGAATTCTTTATACTATGGCTGTAACACGATTTACTGAGTGTTCTGTAAAGGGCTTATATTATGAATGTAGGATGTAACTTCCGGAGGATGCATATTTGAGTCCATATATGAGAAGTTGAATGTACTGACTCATCTGAGTGAGACGCGATTGCCATCCGTGAGATATTGTGAAGTGCGGGGTAAAGTTATTGCCAAGTGAGTTTGTTCCTTCATATCATGTTTGTAATTACCCTTGTATGCTTGATATTAAGTGCGTGATGTTGTTAATGACCCGCGATCGGCCGCGAGCATTAGTTTCCGTGTAAACCAAAAGTGAAAGTGCTGCTACCATCAGCATCGCGGCTAATCCCGATGTCCTCGTGTAGATCTCGTTTGTTTTATTATGATTCAGTTTACTATATTCTACATTTGTTATGCCTTATGCTGTCACATGCCCTTTATATAATGCAGCTTTAGTCATTGATGTCTATTTATATTATGTTTACATTCAGCATACATTAGTCTATTGACTGCACTTTAAGAGAGCTGCAAATACTGTGTTGTTTGGTTTGGGATATTTATTGTGTCAGTACATATATATATATATATATATTTTCGTGTTTGATATTTTATTATTTATGTATACTTATTGTTTATTACAGGAAACTACCTCCCTGCTCATAAATAAAAGATTGAAATTATCTCCTGACTCCTACTCCTTAACCAGAGTGCTGAAGTGGTCAGCAACATTTAAAGAACTGGCATTCTAAATTGGGCAATACCCAACAAATGGTCCTTCGAGCCGGAGCACTGACTGCTTCAGAATGTCAGCAGATGGCAATCCAACATCTCCTTCTCATGCCAGACCATTACGACAATGTCAAGCCCCCAGGTATCTAGAGGATTATGTCCTTGACTCCCATCACCGACCTGCCCTCACCTCTAGTACGGTTCAAAGTGTAATGGAGGAGCCAAAAGGCGCAGCAGCCGCAGTGTATTCGAGTCAAGCAGATGTAACCTCCAGTCAAGGTAGACATCTGGTCACACCCAGTCCAAGTCAAGCAGACTTATTGAGTATGGACTCATTAACTAAATTAATGGAAACCATAAACGAGAAGGACAGAGAAGAAAATGCTGAAATGCACAGTCTTCTCAGGAAATTAGAGCAGCTCAAGAAACGGAAACAGCGCAGAGAGGAGATGATGGAGCACATTACGTCTTTCATAAGGGAGGAACAGGGAAATGAGAACAATGAACCAGTACAGTCTTCTCCTGCACCTTCTAATCCATCAAGTCCTCCACCCTTACCCTCATGGGACACAGTACCACAATCAGAGCACCAAGTTGCTGCAGGCTTATCAATGGGACCAGAGAAGTCGTCACATCAGCTGTCAGTTATGGTTTCTAGACCAACGGTGGGGAGCCATAATGCTGCTTATGAATCAGTCAATCAGAGTCGTCCACAAACTACAGGTTTATTGTGTTCCCCTCCCTCATCTGGCATGGCATCTCCTGTTCCCCATCCGCCACAGTCACAGCTATATGAGCCCATGTCCTCTCAGGCTCCCAGACCTCTCCCTAGGCAGGAACAAGCTAGCACTGCTCATTCAGAACGATCATTTCACCCCCTTGAACCACAGGTGATTTCGCCAACACCAGTCTATCCACGTTCTATGGCACCTTATGGCTATATTGCAACACCATACTCACAAATGCAGTTGGTGAATGCACCCAATTCACACACTCTTGCCCCTCCGTATCAAGCAATGATGTCATCAACATTACTTCCCCAAAATATGTTCTCAGGCCCAATGCCTTCAGTGAGCACGGCTGCAGTCGCACCACAGTTGGTCACAGCTCAGGTAGCAGCACCACCCAATGGTAGTATACCTCAACGTGCCCTATACAGCCCCCCAAAACCAAAAATTCCAGACTTCACAAACGACAGTGAACGAGATTTTGCTAATATGAAGCTAGCATTGGACAATTTGCTTGAACCTTACCCTGAACTAACAGAAAAGTACAAATACCATGTACTATTGGAGCATCTTAAACTTCCTGAAGCTCAGATGATAGGGCAGTCATGTAGGCATCATCCATATCCCTATTCAGCAGCTATGCAAGCCCTTCAATTACAGTATGGTCAGCCCCATCAACTGGCTCAAAGTGAAATAGCAGCCATCCTCACATCACCAGATGTAAAGCCCAATGATGGTCATAGCTTTCAGAGTTTCGCTTTGAGAGTTCATCTTCTGGTCAGTATGCTGCTGTCACTAGAGGGACCCAGAGGGATGGAGCTTAACTGTTGCTCGCATGTGGACCGCTTGCTTAGCAAGCTACCAAAATACCTTCGAGATGGCTTCATTGAGTTCCTACAACAGCAGGGAAAACTTAATGCCTTAAGTTTGAACCCTTATAATCTGCAAGACTTCGCTGGGTGGCTACAAGTCAAAGCACAGCAGCAGCGGCTGTCTAATCGACTAATGCAACGCTATCAACATGAAAGGCCTTCAAGTATTGGAAAGGAGAAAACTCAAGCCAGAACAAAGGGGACAAGTTTAGTACTTTATCAGGGTGCGGCCCCAAATGAGACTGCTCTTCCTACCCATCCTAAAGAGAACAAACAAAGGAAGCCATTTAAGGTACAATGTCTGTTCTGCAATAGTAAAGAACATTACATTACACGCTGCGACAATATCAAAGAGCAGTCAGTCGCAGAGCTCCATAAGTGGATTTCAGATGGAAGGCGATGCTGGAAATGTGCACGATTTCATGCACCAGAGATGTGCAACCTCAAAAAGCCATGCAGTGACTGTGGTAGAATACATCTACAGGTGCTCCATCGTATCGCACCTAATGATCAACCAAACACATCAGGTACGCCAGAGAGTCGTATTTACCTCACCCCTGCCAGTGTGACCTGTAGAGTGCTTCTTAAAGTGGTTCCAGTGTTGCTACATGGCAAGTTCAAATCAGTAGAAACCTATGCTATACTAGACGATGGAGTGCAACGAACCATTGTCTTACCAATGGCTGCACAGATGCTTCAGTTAAAAGGTGAACCTGAAGTACTGACTTTACGCACAGTGCGAGCAGATGTTACCCATCTTTCTGGATCCAAGATTAATCTGGAAATTTCCCCAAAAGGCGAACCCAATAAACGTTTCCAGATACTTGACGCCTTCACAGCTTCCGGTTTGGATCTAGTTGAGCAATCATATCCAGTACAGAGACTTCAAAAGCTGTATGCTCACCTTAGAGGGCTCCCTCTACAGTCCTTCCACAACGTACGCCCACTAGTACTGATCGGATCAGATCATGTTCATCTTATCACAGCCGATAAGCCAGTCCACCAAGGAGTCAAAGGTGGCCCAGTTGCAATACACACAGCCCTCGGATGGGCATTACAAGGAGCAGAGAAGAGCACACCAATCCACAATTCAGTACAGCAGTGTCTTTTTACAGCGGCCTCCTGTCCCAATGACTTGCTTTATCGCAGTGTTGAAAAGTTATGGCAACTGGACATCTTGCCTTATCGAAATGAGAAACTGGTGGTTCGATCCAGGGAAGACCAAGAAGCAATCAAACTTCTTGAGTGCAAAACACAGACAATTAATGTGGAGGGTGTCCAGCGGTATGCCACCCCTCTCCTGCGCAAACCTGGGGCTCCTACACTATCGAGTACGACTCGATCCGTCATGCCTACTTTGAGAAGTATTGAGAGGAAACTCCAGAGAGACCCTGAGAAAGCAACCATCTACTCTCGTGAGATTGAGAAGCTCATTAAAGCAGGCTATGTCACTAAAATTCGTCCAGAAGAAATCAGCCAGTCCAAAGAGGCCTGGTACATACCCCACCACCTGGTGTGTCACAATGATAAACCAAGACTGGTCTTCAATTGCTCATTCAGGTCTCAAGGTCAGTCTCTGAACGATCAACTTCTCCCAGGGCCTGCACTTGGTCCATCCTTATTGGGCGTTCTTTTAAGATTTCGTCAATACAATGTGGCTGTAAGTGCAGATATCCGGGGAATGTTCCATCAGGTTCGCTTGTTACCTGAGGACAGACCTCTTCTCCGCTTCATTTGGCGAGATCTGCAATATGAGAATTGTCCAGATGTATATGAATGGCAGGTTTTGCCATTTGGTACAACCAGTAGCCCATGTTGTGCCATTTTTGCTGTGCAGCAGCATGCTCGCAATAATCAAGAGAGCTACCCAAGTGCTTTACAGACAATCCAGCAAAGCTTCTATGTGGACAATTATCTAGCGAGTTTTCCCACCACATCGGAAGCCAGGGTGTCCGTTGATCAACTGCGCAGCCTACTAGCTACAGGTGGCTTTGACCTTAGACAATGGGCTAGCAACCAGCCCGCAGTGATCTCACATCTACCCACTGAGGCAAGATCTTCAGCTGCAGAACAGTGGCTTGCACAAAATAGAACTGATCCAATGGAACCAACTCTGGGCCTCAGGTGGAACTGTGCTGCTGATACACTGGGATACCACTATCGTCCAATAGAACATGCTACCCTGACAATGAGAACAGCGTATCAAATACTAGCCACACAGTATGATCCACTGGGCTTCATTGTGCCCTTTACCACACGAGCCAAGGTGCTCATTCAACAGTTGTGGTCTAAAAAGCGAGATTGGGACGACCCAAATTTACCACAAGATCTCAGCAGGGCCTGGGAAACATGGGAGAATGAGTTAAAACATCTCAGCGATATAACCATACCTCGTTGCTACTCATCTATTCCCCACGATGCACAACAACAGTACGAACTACATGTGTTCTGTGACGCATCCGAACGGGCTTATGGGGCTGTGGCTTACTTGGTGGAGTATGCAGATGTTATTCATTCAACCTTTGTCATGGCCAGATCAAGAATTGCACCTAAGAGGCAACAATCCATACCTCGACTGGAGTTATGTGCTGCATTAGCAGGTGCACAGCTGGCAAAGCTCCTGAAGGAGGAGATCACCCTTAAAATCCAGCAGATAGTTTTATGGACTGATTCTACAACTGTGCTAGAGTGGCTCCAGTCCGATTCATGTCGATTTAAAGTTTTTGTTGGAACACGGGTCTCAGAAATCCAGGATCTGACTGAGCATAGTACTTGGCGCTATGTTGACACACAGCAAAACCCAGCAGATGATATCACCAGGGGTAAACCACTCCAAAGTTTTACCATTCCTGGGCGCTGGAGTCAGGGACCCTCATTCCTAAACCTGGGTCCTGAGCACTGGCCAAAAAGACCTGAACCATCAAGGTCAGAAGGATTACCTGATTTAAAGGGTACCAATATCTGTTGTTTAATGACTGCGGTGCCAGATCATACTTTCCCCGATGCCACTCATTTCCATACATGGAAAGAGTTAGTGGAAGCGACTCGACAGGCCGATGGAAAGGCGACAGGTAGTCAACCAGATACTCAACTCATGGACCATCGCACAGCAGAATTGGAATTAATAAAAGGGTCTCAGGCTCAAAGCTTTCCCGAGGAGACCGCAGCCCTCAAAATGCACAAACCTGTACCAAATCACAGTCGATTAAGATGTCTTGCTCCAGAGTGGGATCCGGTGATGGAGGTAATCAGAGTCGGAGGACGATTACGAAGGCTGGAAAGCCTAAATGCTGAGGAAATTCACCCTATAGTATTAGACCCACAGCATCCAACCACAAAGCTTCTCATCAAAGAGTTTGATGAGCGCCTGCTCCACCCAGGTACAGAAAGAGTGTACGCCGAACTTCGGAGACAATATTGGATCTTGAGGGGGCGGCAAGCTGTCAAACATCACCAGCTTAAATGTTCATCATGCCAACGATGGAGAGCTCAGCCTAAGGTACCAAAAATGGCAGACCTGCCACCAGAGCGGCTCAGGATTCTTTGCCCACCATTCTACTCTACTGGAGTAGACTGTTTTGGTCCATATCAGGTAAAAATAGGCAGACGAGTGGAGAAACGTTGGGGAGTCATTTTTAAATGTCTCACAACAAGAGCGGTTCACATTGAGCTCCTCAACTCCATGGATGTGGATGCCTTCTTGCTTGCTTTGCGACGATTCATAGCCAGACGTGGCAGACCAAAGGAGCTTAGGTCAGATTGTGGTACAAACTTCCGTGGGGCTGATCGAGAGCTAAGAGAAGCCTTTGCTGCCATGGAATCCCCATTAAAAGAGCGGCTAGCTGATCATCAGATCACATTTAAGTTCAACCCTCCTCATGCACCGCATTTCGGTGGCACTTGGGAACGAGAGGTTCGTTCCATAAAGACTGCTCTACGGGCAGCAGTTGGTGGCCAGTCTGTCTCAGAAGATGTCCTCACTACCGTATTAGTAGAGGTAGAGGGCATTTTGAACTCAAAACCGCTTGGATATGCCTCCACGGATGTTGCAGATCCAGATCCTATTACACCAAACCTTCTCCTCATGGGGCGGCGGGATGCGTCACTCCCACAAGTGACTTATGCTTCAGGGGAAATGGGACGGCGCAGATGGCGCCATTGTCAAAATCTTGTGGATCAGTTCTGGACTCAGTTTACAAGGAATTACTTGCCCACACTACAAACCCGCCAAAAGTGGCAAACTTCATCCGACAATCTAAAAGTGGGTTCAGTGGTTTTGATTGTTGACCCACAATTGCCCAGGGCTCAGTGGCCAATTGGCAAAGTGGCCGAGACTGTTATCAGTGATGATGGTTGTGTAAGATCTGCAAACATAAATGTTCAAGGTAAAGTGTACACTAGGCCAGTAGCCCGGCTTATTCAGTTGCCAGCCTTTCAAGATGACAGTAAAGACTCCTAAAGAATTCTCTTGACTTGCACATTTGCTGTTCAAATGTGGGGGCGGCTGTTCTGAATTCTTTATACTATGGCTGTAACACGATTTACTGAGTGTTCTGTAAAGGGCTTATATTATGAATGTAGGATGTAACTTCCGGAGGATGCATATTTGAGTCCATATATGAGAAGTTGAATGTACTGACTCATCTGAGTGAGACGCGATTGCCATCCGTGAGATATTGTGAAGTGCGGGGTAAAGTTATTGCCAAGTGAGTTTGTTCCTTCATATCATGTTTGTAATTACCCTTGTATGCTTGATATTAAGTGCGTGATGTTGTTAATGACCCGCGATCGGCCGCGAGCATTAGTTTCCGTGTAAACCAAAAGTGAAAGTGCTGCTACCATCAGCATCGCGGCTAATCCCGATGTCCTCGTGTAGATCTCGTTTGTTTTATTATGATTCAGTTTACTATATTCTACATTTGTTATGCCTTATGCTGTCACATGCCCTTTATATAATGCAGCTTTAGTCATTGATGTCTATTTATATTATGTTTACATTCAGCATACATTAGTCTATTGACTGCACTTTAAGAGAGCTGCAAATACTGTGTTGTTTGGTTTGGGATATTTATTGTGTCAGTACATATATATATATATATATATTTTCGTGTTTGATATTTTATTATTTATGTATACTTATTGTTTATTACAGGAAACTACCTCCCTGCTCATAAATAAAAGATTGAAATTATCTCCTGACTCCTACTCCTTAACCAGAGTGCTGAAGTGGTCAGCAACATTTAAAGAACTGGCATTCTAAATTGGGCAATACCCAACAAGGTGTAATATAATTATTTTAGTATTATATACAAATGACTGCTTGAAAGGATTAAGAATGTTTATTCATTTTCCTTTGGCTTAGTCCCTTATTTATCAGGGGTCGCCACAGCGAATGAACCGCCAACTATTCCAACATATGTTTTAAGCAGCGGGTGCCCTTTTTGGCCGCAACCCAGCACTGTACACACTCATACACTACAGCCAACTTAGTTAATCCATTTCACCTATACCGCATGTCTTTGTACTAGACATGGGCCGGTATAAAATTATCACGGAATGACAACCTTGGATAAAAATATCACGGTTTCATGGTACTGCTCTGAAATATATTCTTTTTAAATGTCTGGGTAAAAAGCTAAAACTTTTTTCCTTTTTTTAACAATATATTTTATTTTTTGAAAGATTTATGAAATTTTAATTAATTAATTGACTTCTGCTGTCTTCATTAGTTTCAAAAAAACAGATTTCTGTACAATTTAAAATGGCATCTTAGGATATTTTTTTCTGGTGAAGATATTATTGTCCTAAAAAAAAAAAAAATAATAATAATAATAGTAATAATAATAATAATAATAATATATATATATATATATATATATATATATATATATATATATATATATATATATATATATATATATATATATATATATATTAATAAAAAAAAGTCTTACACATACCATAGGAACGGTAAGGTGACATTGCCAACCACTGAGCTACTGTGCCACCCCATAAAGAGTGCAGAATGCTATAAAGAATGCATGTAGATAAGAATTTTTTTTTTTCTGTTTTGCATGTTCAAACCGGACTCTTTTTAATGTTTCTATGAGTTTGACATTTTTTTTTTTTTGAGAAATGTTTGACTAATGTACTAAAGGTTTAATAAAGTGCTTTGAAATGTGCATTTTTTATTCAATATTTCATGTAATCTCAACTGAAACATGAAAAGAGGGTGAGCTTAGAGTAGCTTCAATAGAAAAAAAAACAGCTAATAGTGTTTTGTTTTATCACAGCTCTGCCAGTGAAAGTGGCTGAGGTCAAGCGCATCAAATGAAAAGCAAAGAAGTAGCATCTTAAGAGGGGCGGGTCATGTTAGATACTAGACAGCATTTGATTGGTTAGATTTGATGAAAAACTGAAGGTGACCTGAAAAAAAAAGCCTGTTCCGGAGTTTTAGGGCAATAACAGCAAAAGCCCGATCCCCACTTCGCTTACACCAGGACTTGGTACAGAAAGAATAAACTAATCAGAAGGCCTTAGTGACCTACCAGGATTATATACATGTAGGAGATCTGATAAGCAAGAAGGTGCCATATCATTAAAGGATTTAAAAACAAAGATAAATCATTTAAAATTAATCCATGATTTAACATTGAGCCAGCCCAGAGAGGAAAGAACTGGGGATATGTGTTCATACTTGCGAGTCCCTCTCAGAAGTCAACAAAATCCTACAAAATTTTGTCTACTATAACTACACTTTAGCTAAAAATGTTATGACTAAGCTGAAATTAAATTAAAATGTGCAGTAAATTTTCCTTAAAAAAAAAACAACAACTTACTTTCACATAGGCTCATTCTGAACATGTAGCCCTATATACGTCTCTGGAGATCACGAATTATGTAGCCAAAAGCATGTATAGCTGCATTTCGTCTTTAAAATGAACGCTACGGGGCGGTATGACACCTTTTCACGCTCACCAGCTGACTGCTTACCCTCATGTGGACAGCTTTTCCGCTGTTACTAGTTTGACCAGTAGCTCGCCATGTATGTTGGCAGACTTGAGACGCAGAGAGGAGTTGTCCACAACAATGGGGTTTGAGTCTAGCGAAGAACGGTTCCAAAAAGCGGGTAATACATAAAACAGCCAAAACTAAAATAAACCAGTAAATAATAGAGTGAGAACTTGGTAAAATCTTTTTAAAACTGCCGGTTGGGTTTAGGGAAGTGGGTGTTCAGGTCAATCAGTCAGTCATTCAGTAAGTTGACAGGGGCCCCCTGGTGGATTTTCATAAGAACAGCAGGCGCGAATGGCACTCGCAAGAGAAATTTCAATTACCAAAAAGTGTACACAGTGGCCTCTGGTGGATTCGCCTACTGCGATGTATTTGACGTTCTCCAGAAATGAATATAGGGGTACGTTTTCAGAATGAGCAAGGGTTGCTTACTTTGACTCTAAAAGCGTCAAAGTAAGAAATATTGCCAAACTAGCAAAAAAAGAAATGTAATAATAGTTTGCACACAGGAGTGTTTTTCCCATGACACTGTGATGTAAGTATTAATTCCGTATTTTCCCTGACCCTTTAACCCCCTAGCAGGCTAAAGGTCACGTGTAGCTAAATGAAAGGGATGTTGAGCTAATGGATGGCTGCACCACAGAAATTTCTCACACGCTCTACACCCGTTGGCTACATGTGACCTTTCACCCTTTATTTATGAGGCGTGAGAAGGTCAGTAGAATCATGGTGCCAATAGCAAACAAACAAAACCAACAAACATCCATCTGTCACATTGAGCACATGCTCATGCATATCCAAATGATCAACCTGGAAACATCAGAGAACTTTAAAATGCCCCTGAAAATGTATGCCAAGGGTGATACGGTGGCTCAGTGGTTAACACTGTTGCCTCACAGCAAGAAAGTTGCTGCTTCGAGACCTGACTTGACCAGTTAGCATTTCTGTGTTGAGTTGCATGTTCTCCCTGTGTTCACATGAGCTTCCAAAGACATGCGCTATAGGTGAATTGAATAAACTAAACTGGCCATAGTGTATGGGTGTGTATGAGAGAGTGTATGGGTGTTTCCCAGTACTTAATTGCAGCTAGAAGGGAATCCGCTGTGTAAAACATCTGCCGGAATAGTTGTCGGTTCATTCCGCTGTGAAACCTCTGATAAATCAGGGAGTAAGCCGAAGGAAAATGAATGAATGAATAAATGAATTTATGGCAAGTAATGCACTCAGTATTCTATTTTTTAGGTACCTTAAAAGTAGGACCTACTTTTAGAACTGATTTTTTTGCAGCATTGATTCAACGAGGAGTTTTGAGATATGGTGTGTTAACGTGCTAGAACTAGCTATCAAAACATGGGCACACTATGGTCACAAAGGTAATATATGGTCAGTAAGAATAATCAGGTAGACGGTAGCATTTATTCAATGTTCAGTTGCCATTTACGGTTGCAATTTTGTTATGGTTACACCTAGAATCCTTACTACGGGGAACACTGGGGAAAAAAGCCTAATTGGATCAAATTAAATTAATTACTTCAACTTCTTACACTCAAAAGAATGAAGTTTTTCCAACTGAAAACTGTAATAAATTAAGTGGAAACTAGTTATTTAATGTAGATGTAACATGCTGAAGTAATTAGTTTAAGTCTTCACTTTGTACAGTGTAGTAGATTATTTTCCAGCATCTTCGACCCTCAAACAAATGTGTGTTTTAAATATGACAAATGCCCCTTATTTAGTTTAGTTAGTAGATGGACTGAATACAAACTTTGAAACTTCTTCAGATGAACACAGCTGCTGAGCTCGTGCATCCAGGTTAATCATGAACAACTCAGTGCGCATGCGCTAGTTGCACTATCACGGTCTGATTATGTTTCAAACAAGGTTTATTTGCATCGAATACATACCATCTGTGCCAAACATCTCAACTGACAAACATATTAACAATAATACAACCGTATAGCCAAATTAAATGTATGCATTGGCATTTTACAGCCCTAATGAGTATGATTATGTGTAACTCCATTTAGATACATATTGCAATGATTTCGGGTACTTACTTAGCGATGCACGCACACATATATGCACAGTCCTTAAATGCTCTGCTGACTTGGACTCTATAAGTTTTATAACTTTAAACTATCAACAACCACCATTGTCCATTTCATGTGAGATGGCAGGGGGTGAGTGGAAGAAACCAAGTCGCGGGGAGAATATTTTCTACAGAAATAATTTATGATTTCTTATGTGGCCCTGTACCAGTTGTTCCACGAACCGGTACCGGTCCGCAGCCCGGTGGTTGGGGACCACTGTTTTAAGTCTCTAAATCCATTGAAAACACCATAAATATCAGTATCCTATAGCTGGACTGAAATGCAAACTTTGAAAATGGAGGGATTATAAGCTCCTGCAATATTATTGGCTGATTGGATATTTGCATTAGTTATATATCAATATCCGGGAATTCTAGCTATTAAAGTTATGATAATGTGTTGAAATTTCATTAGTCAATGCATATGAACCAACAGAGTACCTCCATCTCACCATGGCAACTTGCTGGCTAAACATGGTCAACCTTTCAATGAAGCAGCCTTCTTAATTAGCATAATTAGCACAATTAGCAGTGCACAGGCATAAAGAGGACATTTTTTGTCTATATATGAAAGCTGTTTGCTTAATGCGGTGGTTTGTCTCGTTTAAGAGAATAATAATAATAATGCTTTGGTGTGGACGTGTGGGTGTATGACGAACTGATTAAGTTCACTCAGCAGAGTAAGATGCTGTCTGTGTTATTTTAGTCATGTCTGAGGTCTTAGATACACTCGGCGTCCGTGATGCAAGCTGCTGACGCCGCGATTGGCTGAAACTCTATTTAGAAAAGCTGTCTGGAGCTGGAGATTGAGGAAACCGCAGACTGAAGACAGACAGCGCTAACCCTTAAAGCAGCCTCTGCTGCATTTCATCTTCCACTTGTCAAGACTAAATAAATTGTCAGTTTTCTATCAGTTTTTACTTCTGTGTCTGCGCATGTGCTGATTTTGGCGGTTTATAAAGACAGAACTTTGTAAAAAAGACATGGGTATGACCCAGGTATTACAATGTTGAAATGGTTTATGGGAATGGCAATTTAAACTGTTCAAAATCTCACTTTACAAGGTTATTTTCACATTTAAAATTGCCACAGTTTTCCTTTGAGGATTGATTTAGGGGCAGTGGTAGGGTAAGCGTTTTACATTATGCCTACACTGGAAAATCCAACCCAGACTCAA